ATTTAGTATTAGATATATAACATATAAGGTTAATAGAGACAACAAAATTGCTTGTAGCCTACTGGTGTGTGAGTTAAACTTAAATGAACATGAGGTACTTGGTTCAAATCCTATGGAGGATGTTTATTTTTGGATATAATGTGTGTACCACTAAATTCCGGTTTCTGGTCTAACCGGCCGGAATTTCCGGTTTTGACCGGGTCTGACCGGTATTGACCGGATTTGACCACAGTTAAATACCGGCCCCTTTCCAGCCAGTTTGCTGACCGGTACCGGTTGAAACCAGTTGAACCGGCCGGCATGAAACCGGTTTGACAACCATGGCAGCTACTTTCCCAATTGTAGATAGATAGATATCAATAAAATCGAGCCTTCTTCTTCCCATTTCTCTGCTTCCGTTCCTTTTTCCGTCATTTCCCTCCATTCGCCAGATTCCCTCGACAACGATCCTGACAAGTGGTATTCAGAGCCTTTACTCTGGCAATGGCATCTCATACTTCTCGCATCGTTGATTTAGAGACGCAGATGGCGTCTGTTCAGCTCAAATTGGATTCTCAACATCAGGACTTGAAGGCCGCCATTGCGGAGCTTGCTGCTTCAACGAAGGACAATATTGATGCACTGACGGCGTCCTTCGCTCGAAGTCGGGAGAAGTCACCGATCCGTTCGCCGCCGCACTCGCAGGCTCCCTTTTCTGATCAGCCGCACTTTCGTTCTCAGCACCGCAGGCCGTCGCTCTTGGATCATTATCCTCGCCTGGAGTTCTCCTATTTTTCTGGATCAGATCCACATGTATGGGTGAGCAAGTGTAACAAACTCTTTCATCTGTATTCGATTCCAGAAGACCAGAAAGTCGATTTGGTTTCGTATTACTTGGAAGGACGAGCGTATACGTGGTTTGAAGGTTGGTCCTTCCGCCGATTTCCGTTGATTTGGGGCCATTTCGTCGAGGAGCTTCTTCACCATTTCGGGAATAAGGAGCAGTTGAATGTGGTTGCGGCGTTTAATAAGCTTTGGCAGACGTCTTCTGTTTCTCGTTACCAAGAGGAGTTCGAGGTTTGCGTTCGCGGCTGCTGCGCTTGAATCCAGAACTCAATGAACACTATTTCATCTTGAGTTTTCTAGGCGGGTTGGACGAAGAAATTCAACCGCGAGTTCAGGTCCTCAATCCTCCCACTCTCGCTTGTGCTTTCTATCAAGCTCGGTTGGAGGAATCTGCCATGGAAGCTCGCAAACGGAAGGGCCGTGCTTCATCTTCTAACCGCTGGCCAGTTGCGGCTTCGGCGGGCACATCCAAGCCATCACCACCTCCTTCGTCGCATACCACTGAGCAACCACCTGTCTCCAGGGGGCAAGGGCTTTGCTATAGATGCGACGACAAATACTTCCACGGCCATGTGTGCAGCAAACGGAAACAGCTTCAGTCAATGCAAGCCGAGGTGTCTCCATTGTACAGTGAAGAGGAAGATTTGGAAGAGGAGTTTCAAGATGCTGAGTTGGAGGTTTCATTACAGTCGATGGGGGCTGGGTTTGCGGGCAATTCCCTCCTCATTCCAGCTACAGCAGGACGGCGTGAGGTAACTGTCCTGATCGACACTGGCAGTTCCCATACTTTCTTGAATTCCCTTAAGGCAGAAGAACTAAGTTGTAGAACAGAGAGTATTGCCCCAATGCGGGTTAAGGTGGCTAGTGGGCATTCCTTGCTAAGTACTTCTGTTTGCCGGGGGTTTAATTGGAAGATGCAAGGACAAGATTTTGCCTTTGATGTGAGAACTCTCGACTTACCTGCTCATGATTTGGTGTTGGGTTGGGATTGGTTAGAGACAGTTAGTCCGTTTCAGGTGGATCTCAAGAAACGTCAGTTATCATTTGATTGGAAAGGGAGGCTCTTGACCTTACAAGGACTTACCAATGAGGGGCAGTGCAAGGCGATGACAGGGCGTTCCTTTAAACAGCTCTTGAAGAAGGCAGCAACCTATCTTACTGGTACTGTCTTCTCTCTCGAAGCTGTTCCTGTTCCTACAGCTACTCCAGTCTATCTCCAGCCTCTTTTGCTTCAATTCCAAGATGTGTTTGCTACTCCTACTTCCTTGCCTCCTTCGCGTGCTTTTGATCATAGTATTCCTCTCCTCCCAAACAGTAAACCCATTAACATTCGCCCATACCGGTTTCCTCATCACCAAAAGGCAGTAGCTGAGAAATTGGTGGCTGAGATGCTGCAATCGGAATTTATCCAAGAAAGCCACAGCCCGTATGCATCCCCGGTTCTATTGATTGGCAAAAAGGATGGAACTTGGCGATTTTGCGTGGATTACAGGGAGTTGAACTCTGCTACTATTAAAAACAAGTTTCCCATACCCCATATTGAAGATCTATTGGATGAATTACATGGGGCTGTTGTCTTTTCGAAATTGGATCTCAGGGTAGGGTATCACCAGATTCGAATGCATCCTGCAGTTTAAGACGGCTTTCCGCACTCATCAAGGCCATTACGAGTTCAGAGTAATGCCCTTTGGGTTGACAAACGCACCAGCCACGTTTCAAGCTCTCATGAACCATGTTTTTGGCAAATATCTACGATAGTTTATCTTGGTTTTTTTCGATGATATTCTGGTGTACAGTCAGTCTGAAGAAGCCCACTTTCAGCACCTTTCGATTGCTCTACAGTTATTGAGGGACCATCACTTGTTTGCTAAAGAATCGAAATGCTCATTTGGGTAGTCACGGGTGGAGTATTTGGGTCATATCATCAGCAAACAGGGTGTTTCTACGGATCAAACTAAGGTAGCCGCGATGCAGCAATGGCCACGACCCCATTCTGTTAAGGGTTTGAGGGGATTTTTGGGGTTGACAGGTTATTACAGGAAATTCATTCGACATTATGGGATCATTGCCCGCCCTCTCACTACCCTTTTGAAGAAATTTGGATTCCATTGGAATCCGGAGGCCGAGGCTGCCTTTGAAGCTTTAAAAACAGCCATGACAACAGCCCCAGTACTAGCTCTTCCTGATTTTACTGTACCATTTACATTGGAGACGGATGCTTGCGGTACGGGAGTAGGGGCTGTGTTGTCTCAGGGAGGGAAGCCTCTTGCTTACTTCAGCAAAGCATTGGGAGTAAGGAACCAAGGGTTGAGCACTTATGAGAAGGAATACTTGGCTGTTTTAATGGCAGTCGATCATTGGAGGCATTACCTTGAAGGGCGCCAGTTTACTATCGTTACGGACCACGAAAGTCTCAAATACTTGTTAGGGCAGAAAGTTCATACAGCTATACAAAAGAAGGGACTTATCAAGCTCATGGGGCTGGATTTTCAAATCAAGTATAGAAAAGGGAAGTACAACGGAGCTGCAGATGCTTTATCTCGTGTTTTTGATGATGAATCATCCTTGGGAGAATGTAATGCTCTAAGTACTGTTCTTCCCGAGTGGTTAATCGAGATTGAACAAACTTATGAGGCCGATTCGGAGGTGACTGATTTAATTGCTGCAACAGCTGTGAATTCTCAAGGCCCCTCTCTCTGGTCTTTTGCTGCTGGAATTCTCAGGTACAAGGGTGCGATTGTGGTTGGCTCTGCTGGGTATATGCGTACAAAGCTGCTCCATCTGTTTCATTCATCACCGGTTGGAGGCCATTCAAGGGTCCAAGTGACTTACCAACGTCTGAAGTCTTATTTTTACTGGAGGGGTATGAAGGCTGCTGTCACATAGTTTGTAGCTCAATGTGACGTCTGTCAGCGTTGTAAGGCTGAAACTCTCGCTTCCCCAGGGCTCTTGCAACCTCTGCCCATTCCTACACGAGCTTGGCAAGATGTTAGCTTGGATTTCGTGGAAGGTCTGCCTATGTCGCAAGGGAAGCAGGTTCTGATGGTAGTCGTGGACAGGTTCACTAAGTCAGCCCACTTCTTCGCTCTTAAACACCCTTACTCAGCTGTTGAAGTGGCCCTTGTGTTCTTCGATGGGGTTTTTCGACATCATGGCATGCCGGCAACGATTGTTAGTGACAGAGATGCTACATTCACTAGCAGCTTTTGGACAGAGTTCTTCCGATTGCAGCATACTGATCTTCACTATTCCACGGCGTATCACCCGCAAACTGATGGCCAAACCGAGAGGGTGAATCGTTGCTTGGAGGATTACCTTCGTTGTATGACATACCATCGACCTCATGATTGGGCTGCGTGGCTTACTTTGGCAGAATGGTGCTATAATACTCATTTTCACATCAACCTGCAAATGTCCCCTTTTGAAGCTCTGTATGGATTTCCTCCTCCCTTCTTCGGTCTCACTCACTCTCATGCTACTTCAGTTGGGGCTGTGGAGGAAAGGGTTTCACAACAACATCAGTTGGCTCAGTTCTTGACTCATAACATTGCAAAGGCTCAAAATAGGCAGAAACAGTATGCTGATCAAAGACGTTCAGAAAGGGTGTTGCAGTTGGGTGATTGGGTCTACCTTCGCCTGCAACCTTATCGCCAAGGTTCTGTGGTGGTGCGACATGGCAGCAAACTTGGGGCTCGTTATTTTGGCCCTTATCAGGTGCTGGCGAAGGTTGGGAACGTGGCTTACAAGTTAGCTCTACCGGCAAGCTCCAAAGTGCACCCTGTGTTTCATGTATCCCAACTGAAATTGTGTCGTTCCACAGTTCCCCCCGCTGCTCTGCAACTTCCTGGATCTGACGACAATGGTTCCTTGAAGCTGGCCCCTCATCAGATTCTGGCTCGACGATTTGTGCACAAGAATAACCAGGCTGTGACGCAAGTCCTTGTGCAATGGACGCAACAATCACCAGAAGAGGCTACGTGGGAGGATCTGCCTTCATTCAAAGCTCTGCATCCTGCTTTCCCAGCTTGATTACAGCTTGAGGACAAGCTGTTTCTGATGGGGGAAGGTTTGTAACAACCCGAGACAGCTGGCATGATGAGGTGTAAAGGGTATAAATAGCTATAGTGAGAAGAGAGAAGCATTCTTTGACCAATCTGTAAACTTGCAGCTACTTTCCCAATTGTAGATAGATAGATATCAATAAAATCGAGCCTTCTTCTTCCCATTTCTCTGCTTCCGTTCCTTTTTCCGCCATTTCCCTCCATTCGCCAGATTCCCTCGACAACGATCCTTACAGATTGAAGGCGGAGGGCCAGAGGGACGGCACTGCGACAGAGGCAAGCTTTGAGGAGGTCGGAATAGACGGCCGGGTTGGCCTGGAGTCCATGGGTTTCCAAATCGTCCAGAGCTTTCATCGCTCCGGGTAAGTCTTGCTGATAGCATAACTTGGTAAACCCCGATAGCAAAGAAGAGGATGAGACGCTGGCCGGCGGCTGAGGACGGGAACACGGCAGCGAGACGGGCGGTAAAGGCCGGGGATTCAGCCTGGCGGCGATCCGTTTCATCGTGTTTTACAGTTTTACTCCTTGCAATAGCTTCTTTCATGGCGTATTTAGTAGTGTTAAACTCACAGCAAAGGACAATTTTCTTTTCTGGAACCTGGAGTCGTATTGACATATTTTTGTTGTCTTGGCTAAGACATGTTAAAGAGTGGAAGGCTGAGATTGAGCGAAATCTCACATCTCACATCTCATAACTGTAAAAAAAAAAAAACATCTCAGTGACTTTTATAGGTATGAAATTTGATAATGTGATGGGATGTATAGTTTTTTTGGGAAATACGTAATAAAAATAGTGAATTTTAGTAGGAAAGAGACATGAATGATGCAACAAATCAAAAATCAGCCTTAGGCTGACTCCAATGCAGCCTGCATTTATAGGGTTCTCGCCATTAATGGCGATTTTGGAGCTCCAATGCAGGGCCGAAAAATGGCGAAGATCGGCATTTATGGAGGGCATCGGCATCTGCGTCGCCAAATATGGAGGAGGGAATGCCGAACTCGGCATTTATGGGGAATGGAAACCGCCCAGCAATGCTTTTTTTTAATTGCTTGCTAATTAATGTGATTAATTAAGGGAAGAAAAGAAAGGTGTTGAGTTATTTAAGGAAATTGATTAAGGAAATTGATTAAGGGAATTGAATGTAATTAATTAGGGGAAGGAAAATTAATGTTTGTATTTAGGCTTTTTAGATTGTATTTAATTTGTGTTTAATATTTGTGTATTTATGCTTTTTTTTCTAAGATGACTTAAATTGTACCATTTGAATTATTTAGGCTTTTTAGATTGTATTTAATTTGTGTTTAATATTTGTGTATTTAGGCTTTTTTTCTAAGATGACTTAAATTGTACCATTTTAATATTTGTGTAATATTTAACCTTTATGATTAGCAAGTGTTGTGGGTAACCTATGAATTGTACCATTTGAATTATTATGTCAATTCGTTAAGCTTTATCATTTTGAAGTGTTGTGTGTAGATCCAAATTAGGTCCATAATTTTTCGCCAAAAAAAATTCGTTCTCGAAATTTAACAAAATTCTATCGAAAAATTTGTATTTAAAAATGATGACGAACTATACAAAAATTAACATGAACAAATTATATTAAAGTTTCGATAAGTACATTTTTAAATAAATGGAAAAACTGGAAATATTAAGAACCCCAAATATGGAGTTTGTTGCATTGGAGCAAAAGAAGGGAAAATGGGGTTCAATCCCCAAATTTGGGGTTTTGCATTGGACTTGGCCTTATGAACCAAAATCAAGTACTTGTTACATTGTGAAACAATATTGTTTCTGGTAATATGATGAGGTGGAGTAAGTTTTATAGAAACCAAATTCCAGAAAATCGAATAAAAAATGGCCTATCCCGCCGGTTTTCGGGAAATGAGCATCTCACAATCGTTGCTAGCTTTTACTCGGCCCATTGGCCGATTAATTTGCTTTATAAAACTTTCATCTTGTCATCATTGTGCTTTCTGGTTTTTTGCCAAGCCATGATAAATCTAAAGAAATCAAGAATGAACAACACGATCTGTGATAGGAACCACCATTCATGTATCCCTAGAAAATGGTGGTAAACACGGACTCACCTGCCAAACTGGTTTGGATTGAGATTTTTATCGGGTATCAGGGAACATTGTGATTATAAATTAGACTTGATCAAAACGGGCCAAAACTTGAAATTCAGCCTGTTTGACCGACCCATGCCAAACTCTAATTATTCTTTACTTTTAAACTTTCTATTTGAAAATAAAAAATAATGAAAGAAAAGAGATGACTGCAATTTGCCATTTGCACATCACTGATTCGGGATTAAAACTATAGAATTTCGAAAGGAAACTGAAAATGTTTAGGATCGTTTTAATGTTAAAAATAACCAAATAGATCTTTCTGTTTAGTTTTTTACTAACAAATACCAAACGATTCCCTATAATATACACTATAATTTAATCATTATGATATCAAATAATTACATAATATATATTTGAAATGATAAAAATTGGACTAATTGGTTTGGTCGAGGTTGAACCATTGAATAACTTTAAAATACATTATATTTTAGTCACTAAGATATAAAATAATAGCATAATATATATTAGGCAAAATACACTTGTATAGCCATAACTTTCACGTTTGTGACAAATATAACCATAACTATCCGAAAACACAAAATAGCCAATTCCGTCCATTTTGTTAATGACGTCAGTTGACGTTATGACTGGACTAACAGAAGAAGCTGAGTTGGCGATTGATTTACCCCACCAACCGACGTGGATTATATAGAAAAAAATAAAAAAAAATAAAAATTATTTTATTTATTTATTTATTTTTCTCTCCCCTCTCTCATCTTTCCTCTCCCGTCATGTTTGCCCTCTCTTCTCAATTGCTCTTCCATTTTCCATCAGATAGTAAAATCGTACGACCTGTGTTGGGGAGGGACGACACTTCAATTGTTGGAAGGGACGGAAGCGGGCTTAATTAAACAGCAGCGCAGATGGGGAGATGGGGAAATCGACATTGGGGATCTGCGTTGGTGACAAATCGATGGAGGAGGTGCAGCAAATCTGAAGGTTGTAACGACAAGGTCCGATGACTACGACAGTGGCGGCAGGGGTTCGCGATGCTTCGTTCTCGTTTCTCGGCCACATTTTCTCCGTCCATCTAGCAACAGCAAAAAGACGTCGACCGTCGCCATCACGATGTCGCCACCACTGCCGACAGCTCAGATCTGAAGGCTGCAACGGCAAGGTTCGATGACGACGACATCGACAGCGGGGGTTAGCCGTGCTCCGTTCTTGTTTCTCGGCCACATTTTCTACGTCCAGATCTAGCAGCAACAAGACGTCGATCATCGCCACCGCCGCCGACAACTCATCCACCTCTGTCGCTGGCAGATTCAAACAAAGAAGAAGCTCCCACCATTGCAGTCGTTGCTGAAGAAGACCCACTCCAGCTCAAGACTGACTCCAGCTTCTCTTCTCGTCTGATTCCAGTACGATAATGGCAGACCCAAACATATGGGTTATTCAATTTGGGGGGGATTTGGATGAACGGGAGAAATGGGTTTTAGGTTATTATTGGCCAAGTGAAAACTTTGTGTGCAGAAGTCGAGATGATGATGGAGAGATTTCCCAAATCCATCGAAAAAGCAATCTCGCCGACTCCATCTAATTAAGGAGTGGGGTTGGAGGAATTGGACGAGGATATGGCTATGAGGAAGGAGATTTGGGAGAAGAAAAGGGGATTTAAGGTGATTGGAAGGGTTCTTGGTAAGAATAATAGGGATAATTTTGGGGGTTTTCTGGCGAACAATGGTTGTGTAGAGGATTTGTTTTGGGTTTGTGATTATTAGAAGGGCTCTGTGTTTGGATGGAGATTTTGTTTTATTTTGGGCAGCAGAGAGATAGGTTGATGGCGGAGGAAGGGAAGGAAAGGGAAGTAGACAGATGTAAAATGGATTTTTTTTAATTCTTTATTGACGTGGCATTCCACGTGTACATTTGGCTGATGTGTCGCTGATGTGGAGGTCGGATTCTGTCCTCGTCAGCATTCCGTCAAACGATCTAACGGAACCGCAGATGGTGTTAAAGTTTCTAACGTTTTTGGCTAGATTTGTCACACTACCCTCCGTTTTTTGGGTTATTTGTGGTTTCGAATAGTAATGGTTATATTTGTCAAAAGTGTGAAAGTTATGGCTATACAGATGTATTTTGCCTATATATTATGCTAGAGAAAATAGCTTGTTTTAGAATGACAAACTCATGATGTTCATTTGTTTTACTTGATGGGCAAATCTCGTGTAGGTGAGGCTCATTCAACTCTTTTATTTTATGATTAGAGGTTAGCCCATTAGAATCCATGCATTAGTTTATTGTTAATTTTTTTTTCTTTTTAGCAATAAAAAGGAGTATTGTTTTTGCCTTTTCATATATATTTTACCACCACGGAGAAATAAAAAGATTTAAAGAAAAAATTGACACTCCTGGACCCGTTTAAATCCACATGTGTACGGTAAGTTGGCCGTTCCACAGAGGAAAAAGAAAAAAATTGACACTCCCTATTCTACCCTTCCTACAAACGCTCCTGGAGCAGGAAATTTGAAATGAGGGAAGATTTTTTTTCCGCTCTGCTTATATGTTTTTAATTTAAAAAGATACAACAAATGAACTAAGAGTGATTGGTTATGATCTTTGTTTTTCTTCAAAGTGGTCATGGTTGAAATTCTAGTAAGTGTCTTTTTAATGAATAAAAAAAATTGTGAAGACCAAAATGTCCTTCCTACTTTCACTCTAGATGCAGGAAAATTGAAATGGGGCTTCAAGTTTTCTCGTTTGGCTTTTATTTATTGTGTAGATTTTCAACGAACAAACTTTCATCTTATCTAATGTAATCAAGATCACATTTTAAAACATGAAAGTTTATGCTTTTACACTTTTAGGTCACCACAACGCTTCTATGTAGAAATCATGTTTTTCACGAATAATCTTAGTCAAAATCTACACTTTGAAATTTCAAAGTTTATGTTTTTAACCTTATAGGTTGCCAAAACACTTCTATATAGAATTACGATTTTGGATGCAGAATTGATTGATATTAGTTGAAGTGATACAAAACATTGAGTACCAATGAAACCAACAACATTCACAATGTGGCACATATGAGTCTCTACACCAAATGAACAAAGGAATGATGTACATAATAAGATCACAACCCAACTCCACAGGCTTATTCTTCAACATAGGCATCAAACCACAACCAAAAGAACTAAATATAAGGGAGATCAGTAGAATATAGAAAGGAAGAAAGCAAAGGTGGATGAACCAAATAATAATGTTGCAGCCAGAGAGCAGCCAATTCCAACAACAGAGAACAACCACTAGGCTGGCGAACCATATCCAGAGATGGAGCTGTTGAGGGCATATGGCCTCCTAGACCATCGTGTGCTAATGGTTATCCAACCTCATTAGGAAGAGTGAGCCATATTCGGAGATGGAGCTGAAAGCATAACAAGTGTACAAAAGAGTGAGCCATGGCTTAAACTTGGCGTTAGTGGCCATTGCACTAATTATCACCACATAGTCGATTCCAACGCACTGCAGTATCACCCCTCCATTCCAACTGATCAGCCAACCTATGTCCATCAAAGCAAGCTCCCCCGAAGGACCGACACTCCAAACAATGCAACCACACCCAACCAAGCTTGGTACTTCATATACACCCACTCCATCGTAGACTCACAACCACTATGGAATCTCACCCCAAACAATGTAGCTAAACCCAACTTCGCAGACCCACAACCACTCTCAAAACGCTCTCGAATCTCTACCATGTTGGTGAAGAAAAGAGAATGGGAACGACGGGAAGGAAGGAGAAGAATAAATATGGGGAAGATTAGATCGAAACACACACACTCTACACAGGGGCGGAGCTACAGCATGGCTCCCCCCCCCCCCCCCCCCCCCCACAAGCTTCTTGAAAATTTTGTATTAGCTAAGGGTAATTCTAATATCTGTTGTATGCACTATAATACCAAGAAATGCATGGCAGTCTAGCATATAGGAATACTTATTTAACTTGTAGGTAAAAATACTGTTCAAAGCCCGAGGGTGTGATTGTTTTGGTTAATTTTTTTCTTTTAGTTAAAAAATGACTTAAGAAGTATTCATTAAATAACCTAACTCCTCTAGTTTCAAATTAGATTAGCTAAGTTCTCAACTTGTATATTTTTATTTTCACAAATCCTTCAATTTAAAACTAGATCGATTAAGTTTTCAACTTCATTTTTTTTACTTTTGTAGATAATGAATAAATTCTTCTACATATACTGCTATATTCATTTTTAATTATGAAAATAGGATGGATATACGATGTTAAAACACATTATTAATTTTTTTCTTTTCTAATCTAAATTGAAATTGGCATGGTAAAAAAAATTAGTTTAGATTTTATTTTGAGAGACTTTAATCATCTTTAAAACTTATAGTTATAATAATATTTCAAATATTTTATTTTGATTATATTAATTTATTTGAACGCCTTTTTGCAGTAGTAGACTAGTATGAAACTTCGCTCCCCTCCCCCCCCTCCCCCAAAACCAAATCCTGGCTCCGCCCCTGACTCTCCACTACTATTTAGCTAGCTAGCTCTCATGTAGATTAAAACCACCATTTCCATCTTTTGATGTTCCGTCTCCCCCGCCCCCCCTCTAAGATCTCTCTAGCTACCACAACACAATCGTTGCTCTCTTTCTCTGAAACAAACGGAAAATGGATTTGCAGCTAACATACAATACAGTAGGCTCGTAAGTTGTAACAATTAGATTGGTTTTTGTTTTTGTTTTTATCAAATATATGATTGACTGATAGCATACAAGGTGCGCTCTCCCTCCCCCTCCCCCTCCTCTCTAATTCTTTTTCCTCCACAACATGACAACGATAGCTGAAAAGATAAGTAGGAAGGATCTGCTATGGTAAATTTGGATTTCTTTGGTACACGTACATTAAGTGCCCCCGATCTTTTTAATAAAACAAACTATTCACTCAAATACTACTGCTATAGCAATAGCTGCTCAACAGCCAGAGAGCAGCATAGCCGTAAGAGAATACCATATCCAATCCATGGTAAGATCAAACCTCATTGGGAACATCATGTAACTTGATATTATGAAAGCATAACAAGTGTACTAAAGAGTGATTCGGGGCTTAAACTTGGTGTCGGTGGTCATTGCACTAATTTTCACTAGATAGTCGATTCCAATGCGCTGCATCATCGTCCCTCCATTCCAACGGATCAGACAACCTATGCCCATCTCCTGGGTTAGCCACCAGCGCCCCCCGATCCCAATTGTCCTCCACACCACCACAAAGTGAGCCAGAATTACCATAGAGAGCCAACCGACAACAGAATTTGACCACTCCAAAGTAAGCTCCTTAGAAGGACCAACACTCCAAACAGTGCAACTACACCCAACCAAGCTTGGTAGTTCATATACACTCACTCCCTCGCAAGCTCACACCTACTCTGGAAACGCACTCCAAACAGTGTAGCTAAACCCAACCTCGCAGATTCACAAACAATTTGGAAACGCTCTCGAATCCCTACCATGTTGATGAAGAAAAGAGAATGGGAGCAACGAGAAGGAATGAGAAGAATGAATATTGGGAAGATCGAATCGAAACGCTCACACTCTACACTACTCTGTAGCTAGCTATCTCTCCTATTAATTAAAACCACAATTTCCATACTTGTTGTTCCCTCTCCCTACCCTCCCGCTTAGATCTCTCTAGCTACCACAAAAAATTGTTTCTCTCTTTTTCTCTAAAACAAGAGCAAAATGGATTGGAGCCACAATATATTAAAGGAGGATGGACACTGTGTATTTATTTTATTCACATATATGATTGAGAGCTAGTGTACAGTACAGTAGGCGCGTAAGTTCTAATAATTTGATTGGTTTTCGTTTTTATCAAATATATAATTGACAGCTAGTGTATAGTACAGCTAGAGTGTGCAATACAGTAGGCTCGCTCTCCCTCGCCCTCCCCTCTAATTTTCCCCCCTCCACAACAGGGCAACGCTAGCTGAAAGATGAGTAGGAAGGATATGTTATGGTAAATTTGGGTTTCTGTGTTACACTTACAATAAGAGCCCACTCTTTGTAATAACATCAAACTATTAACTCAAATACTAGTGCTATAGTTATAGTTTCTCAACAGCCAGCACATCCGTCAGAGAACCTTCCATATCCAAGCCATGGTAAAATTGAACATCATTGGGAACGTCATGTAATTTGATATGCTAAAAGCATAACAAGTTGAAAAAGAGTGAGTCAGGGATTAAACTTGGTCGGTAG